CCCATCCAATTCCCACTCCCCCCTCCAGGGTCTGTGTTGAATATCCTGCGGGTCGGGACACCACCCCACCTCAGCCTCTCATACCCCCGGACACACATGCAAATGATCCTTGGCACGGACAGAAGAAAAATCCTCCAGAGGCTGGGGCAGTGTGGTGGTCTTCACCCTGCAGGCACCATGAAGACGCTGGGGTTCCTTCTATGCCTGATCGCAGCACCCCTTGGTGAGGGTCTCTGGGGCCTGCAGCTGCTTATGGGGGTCTGAGTGTCCGATGTAACAAACGTCTGATCATGACTCTCTTTGTCCCCAGGTGTCTTGTCTGAACTGACATTGAGGGAGTCAGGCCCAGGACTGGTGAAGCCCTCGCAGACCCTGTCCCTCACCTGCACCGTCTCTGGGGGCTCTGTCACCAGCAGTGACTGGTGGCATTGGATCCCCCAGCGTCCTGGGAAAGCGCTGGAGTGGATGGGGTACTGGACAGGGGGAACGTACTACAACCCAGCTTTCCAGGGCCGCATCTCCATCACCGCCAACACACCCAACAACCAGTTCTCCCTGCAGCTGAACTCCGTGACCGCCGACGACACAGCCGTGTACTTCTGTGCAAGAGACACAGTGACGGGGAAGTCAGCGTGAGCCCAGACACGAATCTCCTGCAGGGCTCACAGAACACCAGGAGGTGCTCAGGACCACTGACCTCAGGGAGCAGCCCCAGGAGCAGGTGCAGAGAAGGGGGCTGGGGGCGAGGGGCTTCCTGTCAGGCCTGCAGCTTCCTCCCCTGCAGCCTATTTCCCCGGGGATGTACCGTTCTCCTGTGCCTGCTTCTCCTTTATTTCAGTCGCCAGTGAGATTGCAGTTATTTAAAGCCTGTATTTCTTAAAAACTGAACAAAAATCAAGGAATAAACAAAGATTCAGATCCCAAACCTTTTCTTCTATTTTTAGATATATATTTTAAAACAGTTGGTGACTTACTGTATTATTAAGAAAAAAGTACAAAGAGTCCCCACATACCCTGGACCCAGGTTTGCCTGTTATGAATGACTCACATTGCCATGGTACATTTCTTACTATTAATGAACCAGCACTGACACATGTTATCAACTAACATCCGTACCTCATTCTGGTTCCTTTCTGTTCACCTCATGTCCCTTGTCTGCTTCCATGTGGAGCCCGTGTAGGATTCCACACTACACTTAGACTGGATGTGTCTTAGGTTTCTTTCTGTCCTGACAGTTTCTCAGACACCCTTCCGTAGATGACATAACCAGCTGTCAAGAGTGCTGCTGACACAGTTTGTAGACTGTCCCTCAGTTGGGATCCGCCTGATGCTAGTCTCATGAATGGACTGAAGTTAAGTGTCTAAGAGGAACCATAGGCTTGAGCAACATCCCTGTCACATCGTAACGTACTATCAATGTGACATCACTACGGAGGTTGGCCTTGCTCACCTGCCTAGATAGCGTTTGTCAGGTGTCAGGGCTGTGATGTCACTCCCACCCTTTCCATAACGTAGTCTTTCTAATAAAGTCACCATGTGCAGCCCATGCCTAAAAGGGGGAAGTTTTCTTCCTCCTGCTTGTGGGCAGAGGACCTCCGAGGTGTTTCAGGATATTACTGATTTAACGCAGTTTTTATATTTAAGTTTTGTTCCTATTTTTCAGAATGGATTCCTGCATATTATGTCAATCTGGGTAAAAATCTGGTGCTTCTTCACCCATGTTTTTGTGCACATTTTTCCATTGTTGGTCATCGTGTGCTCTTTCAATGACTCCTGTCCCCTCTGGGATGCCCCCATTTTTGTGGGATGGCTTTTCTGGGTGAAGCAGATCGAGCATGACCACCCGCACAAGATGATGCTTCAAACTCACTTCATGTATTTCCTTCCCAGCAGTACATTCAGCATTGCTTCAAGAGCCACGGATCCTCTTAATGGAGAGGAAGGTCGACATCCAGATCTCACCACGATGTGTGCAAACAGCGATGGTGCTTTTGCTTCTTGGCATCTCCGTTCACAGAACTAGGCAGCAGGTGTGTCTACAGAACAGTGTACATGCACGTGCGTGTGAGTATTTATAGAAGTGACCATCCCTACCTACACGAAGCTAAGGGTGGGCTGATGCTGAGGACTCCAACTCCAGTCCTTGGCCACATGGATCTCTCCAGCCCTGTCCCCTTGCTGATCTATGAGTCCTCACTCCAGCACAGTAAACCTAGATTCCACCACCTGCCCTCAATAAATGTAAGAGTTAAATTACAGCGTACGTGGACATCACTATCAGTGATGACTGCGTATCAACTGGAAAGCACTTCTGTACACAGTTACATTTGCCTTTACTGTCCCAGACACCACTCACTTCCAAAGGGCACTCCTGAGGACAACCATCTGCACCCTTCTCCACAGAGGTTGTTTCACACATTCAGATCATCTCCATTCTTTCCTGGGATCCTCAACCTCCTGAAACACTATTTCTAGTTTCCATAAAATAAGCTTGCTCTCTGGACTGTAAAATTACATGGCATTCAGTAAACGCATATGTCCCCCATTGCTGTATCCCACAAAGAGTTTCACAGTCCTAGAAATCCCCAGAAACTAATTATCTTTTAACTGTCTTTATGTCTTAACTTCTCAGGATGTTATGCAATTGGATTTTTATACTCTGTTAAAAATCCACTGATTTTCACACTGAGTTTTTTGTGTATTAGTTTATTTTTGTGTTGCTGTGTCTGGCTAATTCTTAAAGAAAAGAGGTTTCTTTGGCTCCTGATTCTGGGGCAGCTGCATCTGATGACGGCTGCAGTCTGTTTCCTCTCATGGCAGCAAATGAAAGAAGAGCCAGTGTGTACAGATCACATGGTGTGAGGAAGCAGGACAGAGAAACTGAGGAAGCTACACCCTTTTTAACAACCTGCTCCTAAGCATATTCATGCACTCCTGGTGAGCTCAGTCACTCTCCATGGAGGGCATTCATCCTCACCCATGATCTAAACACCTCCCATCACCACCACACTGAAGATCAAATTCGTACAGGAGACTTGGAGGAGACAAATATTCAATTATGCCTGTAGCATAATGCACTGAAGATTAATCTAGTGTTCATGGCTTAATAGATCATTTCGATTTATCCATTATACTCCACTGTATGGATGTTCCTCGGTGTTTTTTCCCACTACAGTTGCTCATGGAATCATGAATACTTCCAAGTTTTAGTAATTTTGATTGAAGTTATCAAAGCAATTTGAGGAATTCAGCAAGATGGAGAAATAGAAGTCATCAGTGCTCATTTCCTCCCTGAAATGTCCATTTGAAAAAACATCCACAAGTAAAAATATGTTCAGAGGTGCTAAGGAATAGATCTGAAAGGTTACATCACCTTGACAGAGTGCAGGGGGAAAAAAAGGCATAATGAAGACATTAGAAAGGACAGTTCTACATCAGACATATCCCACCTCCTCAACATTCATAGAGCACATAGTGGAGAGAGAAACCCTCCATGGAACAAAAGACATCTGAAGTGAGCACCCATGTTCACCACATACCCAAAAACAGGACTATCCAAGGGAAACCCAGTAACAGGGCAACACCATAATCCCAAGCTCCAGGCCCACTGTACCTGGAAGGCTGGCTTCTGTAACCCCAAAACCTGAAAGCCTCCTGCAGATCCAAGCTTCATGCCAGGACTCATGACCCAGGTCTATAGATACAGGGTAAGACCAAACTCTGTGCCAGGCTGTCTCCTGCCTGAGGACTCCAGCAACAAGTTCACTTGTGGACCCACCAACCAACCTGCCCAGAATATGTAGATGGGCTTTCAGGTGAAAGGATATCAATGCTAAAAATGTTCTGTGAAGACTGATGGAGGTGCCCACTTCTTGCACTTGTGCAGTCAACTTTCCAAATCCACAAGATCCATGAGCCATCAAATAAACGTGATGCTACCAAAGTAGCAATATTAACAACCAGTCCTGACACAAAGAAGTGCAGATCTACAAAATGCCTAACATGAATTCAAAATAATCATTAAACAAGTTCTGTGAGCACAAGAGAATGACAGGTGGATAATGAAACAGTATCAGGAAAACAAAAAGTCAACAAAATCAGAAGTTTAATGAAGAGATAGAAAACATAATAAGAATAATTGCAAATTTTGAAGAGAAACACAACAACTGAAATGAGTATTTCCAAGGGAAACATTAACAACTGATTTCCTCAAACAGAAGAAAAATTCAGTGAGCTCAGAAACAAGTCTTCTGTAATTACCTAATCAGAAGAAAGAACAGAAAACTGAAGGAAAAAGTGTAAAAGAACAATGCCAATAGGGTTCCTTCCATAAGACTATCTGTGGCTTTCTCATCAGAAAATGTTGGAAAGGAGAGAATGGGATAATATATTCCATAATAATAATCATATACATTGTATATTGACAAAATAAAAATTTAACGAAAAAATAAATATATATTCCAAATGCTGAAAGAAAATAAAACTCAGCACAGTAGCAGGATACAAAATCAACACACAAAAATCAGTAGCATTTCTATTCACCAATAGTGAACAAGCAGAAAGAGAAATCAAGAAAGCCTGCCCATTCACAATAGCCACCAAAAAAATAAAATACCTAGGAATTGAACTAACTAAGGATGTGAAAAATCTCTATAACGAGAACTATAAACCACTCCTGAGAGAAATTAGAGAGGATACAAAAAGATGGAAAGACATCCCATGCTCCTGGATTGGAAGAATCAATATAGTGAAAATGACTATACTACCCAAAGTAATATACAAATTCAATGCAATCCCCATCAAAATTCCAATGACATATCTCTCAGAAATGGAAAGAACTATACAGTCATTTATCTGGAATAACAAAAGACCAAGAATAGCCAAAGCAACGCTGAGCAAAAAAAAATAAAGCTGGAGGTATTACTCTACCTGACTTTAAACTATACTACAAAGCCACAATAACCAAAACAGCATGGTACTGGTACAAAAACAGAGACACTGATCAATGGAATAGAACAGAACACCCAGAAATCAACCCACGCACTTACTGCCATTTGATCTTCGACAAAGGCACCAAGCCTATTCACTGGGGTCAGGACTCCCTCTTCAGCAAAGGGTGCTGGGATAACTGGATATCCATATGCAGGAGATTGAAACTAGACCCATACCTCTCACCATATACTAAAATCAACTCAAAATGGATCAAGGATTTAAATATACACCCCGAAACAATAAAACTTATTAAAGAAAACATAGGAGAAACCCTTCAGCAAATAGGGCTGGGCACAGACTTCATGAATATGTCCCCAAAAGCACGGGCAACCAAAGGAAAAATAAACAAATGGGACTATAACAAACTAAAAAGCTTCTGCACAGCAAAAGAAACAATTAACAGAGCTAAAAGACAACCAACAGAGTGGGAGAAAATATTTGCAAAATACACATCCGACAAAGGACTAATATCCAGAATATATAAAGAACTCAAACAACTTTACAAGAAAAAAACAAGCAACCCAATCAAAAAATGGGCAAAAGAACTAAGTAAGCATTTCTCTAAAGAAGATATGCAAATGGCCAACAGTCATATGAAAAAATGCTCAACATCACTCAGCATCCAGGAAATGCAAATCAAAACC